ACAATTTGATGTTCATTTTTGCCCATCACAAAAAATTCTTCAGGCTTATTACAAATTTCCAATCAACGATTGTTTTTATTAATTCCTTCTAAGAACAAATATTTGCATAAATCATTGGTGAAAAAAATTTCTTTTCCCCCTTTCTAAAGATTTGATGGTCCTCTGTGTGTGTTCGTGTGTGTGTGTGTGTTTTTATTATTTTGACCACTTAATGATCTCACAAGATCAAGAAGTTTGGTCGCATATTGGAGATTTCACATATTGACATCCTTTTGGCCTTGAACTTGTATAATATGCCTTATTTGTTCTTTCATGTCCTGTTGTTCCAGAAAGTTTTGGTAGCTCACGGTGCAGCAAAGGTTAGTGCTTATGTCACCCATGGTGTTTTTCCTAAGCGCTCCTGGGACCGATTTATGCCCAAGAATGATGGTAAGTACATCCACATTTTCATCGCTGAGTCTGTGTCTCAACTTGTGTTGGTGTTGATTGCTGTTTGATTCCATTGTGCAGAAGGGTCAGAGATGGGATTTGCCTTCTTTTGGATCACGGATTCTTGCCCACACACTGTCAAAGCCATAGGAAACAGAGCTCCTTTTGAAGTTCTGAGTCTTGCAGGATCTATTGCTGATGCTTTACAAATTTAAGGAGATATTACATATCAACTCTTTTCTCAGACAAGTCTGTAGATTTCTTCAAGCAGACATCATTTTAATTTCAACTTTCTTCTCTCTATATAAAATCTCTCAACTCAAAAATTGCTAAAAATTATCTGTTAAAGACTCTTTGTTGAAGCACTACATGTGAGGCATACAAGTGCAACAAATTCTTCAAATTACAACAATACCAGCATAGAGAATAAATATTCTGCCATTACAAAGATGAATCAGGCTATGATATTATTGCAAACAAGTTGCCATCTTGGTTCTTTTGTGGGCATGAAATCTTGATTACTCCTATGTATTACTTTCGACAATTTGTTCAATTTAATAACTATTATTTTATATATTAAGTAGATAAATATAATAAAACTTTATTATTTTTAATAACACTCTCACTATTATGTCTCTAATATTAAATTTA